CTTCATTGTGAACATTGGTGATGCCATTGAGAGGTGGACTAATGGCATATTTTTGTAAGTTCAAGTTTCTTTATTACTCTTATTGGGAAAAAATTGAAATTTAGATTTTGAGTCAAATTTTAAAAATTCAGTAATATATGCAAGTTTGATGCAGACTATCTTAAATTAATTAATTAATTGTACTCCGTATTAATTAGAGTAATTTATCTAAATAGTACTAAAACATAATGACTTTTTCAAAATAGTACTGTATATTTTTATTTCCTAATGTAGTACCACTGGTCATTGTTCAAGTAAATGTCCACTGCCACTGGACATTGTTCAAACTAAATGTCCACTATCACTGGACATTGTTCTCGCCACTAAACAGTATTCAAGTATTATTTAGATAATTATTTAGTATTCCCTCCGTCCCGTGAAACATTTCCCCTTTCTTTTTTTATCCGTCCCACAAAACATTTCTCATTTCTATTAAAAAATCACTTTTACCCCTTACTTTTTCATACCCTAACTATTACATCATACCTTTTTACTAATAATCTATTCATCAAATCATACTTTTACTCATCACATCAAAGGACATTTTTGGAAATTCAATACCAAAATACACTCCCTTAAATCCCTCCTAAAAAAAATGTCCCATGTTTCATGGGACGGAGGGAGTACGATTTAGTGCAAATATCACTATTAATTAACGGTTACCAAATTGCTGATATTCTTTGAAGGTCGAACCTGCATAGAGTTATACCAACCGGACAAGAACGTTTTTCGGTATGTAATGAAAATTCACCTTAAATTATTAGTGCATACATTGCATTATTTTTGGGGGTTTACTTACTAATGTTATTATATATGTAGGTGGTTTTCACACTAGACGCCAATCCGGATTGGAGTATAGAATGTGCAGAGACTTGTTGCTCTCAATCATCTCCCTCACGGTACAATAATTAATTAATTAAATAATTATAGGGAGTAATAAATATAATTAAACTTGATGGTGTTATATACTATTCAGTTTTAATTAATGTGGAACATGAGCTTAATTATTATTATTATTATTATTATTATTATTATTATGCAGATTCCCCCCTGTCCGCTTTGGGGACTTTCTGGCCGAACGTTTCAAGCGCTTACATGACACGGCGGCCAAACAAGAATCTTAACCACAATTCATGCTTGATCTCCATGGCCGCCGCCGCACTACGGCGGATCTATAAATCTTGGGCTGTGGATGGGGTTACGTTTTGTTCTAATTTGTATCAACTAACATACATGCAACATGTGGAACATTATGTAAACAAGTTTTTAATTTCATTAAATTAAAGATTACATTAAATAATGTATTTCGTTTTACACATTTGTAAAATAATCTATAATTCTCTTTCTTAATCCCGCAAAATCCTTTTTAAAGATTCAAAATTCTCCTCGCGTGATATGTCATTCAAAGGTGTTTTAGGTGCACTTGTATATTTCACTCTAAAACCGATAAAGCACGGTTGATTGAAAGATGATGAAACGTTCAAATTCAGGTTTAATGAAGTATTGTCACTTAAAGAGGCACTCTAAAATTATATTTCATATACAATTAGTGAAATGCATGCAATAAAAAACAAAATTACTATGCCCATCAAAATATAATCCCAAAAAATTACCCTGCCCACACTCAATAAAAAATGGGATTGAGAATGCCGGGACACTACAAAAAATATGCCAAATAATTTTTAAAAATTAAAAATAATGTTGAATACATAGTGAGTTGAGAACACACAATACTAAGTTGAGCATTACAATGCCAACTTAAAAATGAAACACTAATTTAATGCAAAAAACCCGAGCTTCACGCCCACCTAAGATTCGTAATGTGTATCCTGCTTAATGGATTTGGCTCTTTGGAATGTTTGAATAATTCTGATTTGATGGTAATAAATTCTGTTTTGAGCTGATTTTGGTTTTATTGATCTAATTTGAATATAGTTATATCTAAAGTTATTTCTGATCTTATTTGGTCTGATCTGATTTGAATTGAAGTAATTTTAAAACAAATAAGAATAAGTAAGAAAAAAGTAAATTAGTCATATTTAGATAATCAATATTTTAATCCCATTAAAATCTAATTTAATACTCCATCCGTGTCAAAAACTCATTTCCCTTTCTTTTTTGTCTCTCACACTTTTTCCATTTTCTATTAAAAAACTATTTTTACCCTTACTAAGGCAGCCTTCCGTTCAACTTATTTTTTCTGTTTATTACTTATTCTTATTAAAATCAGATCAGACCAGACTAGATTATCAAATCAGATCCAATCAGATTAGGTCAGATCCAATCACATCAGATTCAATCAGATCAGATCGAATCGGATCAGATCCAATTCGATCATATCCAGTAAGATCAGATCCAATCGGATCTGAATTTCAAAAAATTAGATCATATAGGCAAACAGAACGCAACCTAATTCTTAATCTACCGTACCTAACACATTATACCTTTTTACTAAGACTACTAGGTATACCGCTCACGCCCACCGGCGTTATCGTGATTTTCACGCCCCGGGGGCGTTAAACACCGCCCCCGGCGGCGTTACCCAGGCGTGAAGCGGGCCGCGTCATTCGTTAGACGCTGATGCTTCCCCTCCCCCTCCTCCCCTAACGGCTCTAATAGCCGTTGAAGACCAAAAAAATTTTGGTTATAAATTTCAACCCATTCTCTCACACCTTCACTCTTCTTCAATCTTCTTCATAAATTCTTCAATTTCAAAATCCCCCCCTCTTTTCAAGATGAATCCTTCCGGCTCCGGCTTCTTTCCCGATAATCTCGCGCCAAGCGATGCCGCGATGTGGTATTACCAAGAGTTGGGCGATCAACCGCCGACCTTCGAGACGCAACAATCGGGGTACGTTGAGCGAGATTCGGTTCCAGGGACTCAACCGGAACCGAGCGGCTCGAAAACAGGTACACGCCAGAAAAGCCACAAAGCAAAAGGCACGATGACCGAGGCGGCACAGTCAATCCAAAAGTGGACGCCAGAGGAGGAGTTTATTGGCGTTGGCTTGGGTTGACGTCTCCGAGCATCCTATCATTGGTAAAAATTATATTTTTTCAAATATATTTATATTTTTATTTATATAAAATTATATCTAATCGTGTCATAAAAAATTGTGTTATACTTTTTTAAAGGTTCAGAGCAAACGAAGGATGCTGATAGAATTCAGGATGGGTATGGACAACTGGATTGGGCAATAAGACACTTGGGCTGAACCACATTAAAATAGTTAGTTCAACTCAAGAGTTTATATACCGATTATTTTCCTCACACTTTTCCGATGTGGGATACTCTTAACAGATGCGATGTGGGATCGTATTGAGGAAAAGTTCTTCACGGCGATGAACAAGGACGGCTCCTACCGTACCCGGAACCAACTTACTTCTAAATGGAGCCACATCAACCGTAAAGTCCGAAAGTTTGTCGGAGTTTACGAGGAATGCTCCCGGTCCCGGAGGAGCGGGACGAATGACGCCGATGTTCTCCGGCATTCCACGACCGGTATCAAGATGACGGGTACCAAGGCAAGGTGCCCATCAATCTTTGGAGGATTTTGAGCCGTTCCCCGAAGTGGCAACAACTCAACAATCCCGACGGCGGATCGTCAAAGAAAAGATCCTCCGTCGACGCCGAGGTTGAGGTCGACGAGACTATCGGTTCGTCCGATCAAATCCCTCCCTTCAACGTTGCGGATTCCGATGACGAGGACCCCATTCCACGGCCGATCGGAAGAAAGAATGCAAAATCCATTGCCTCGGGTTCGGGAGGGTCCGACTATGCTTCCGTTTCTTCTCGTGATGAAATCAGACGGGCAATGGTTGAACAACTTCGGGTGTTCAATCTTCGAGAAGAAGAGAGGTTGAAGCTAAAAGAGAAGGAGTTGAAGCGAAAGGAGCAAGACGACGAGATCAAAATCATGGAAACTGACCTTTCTACGTTGTCGGGTTTCAAACGGATGATCTACGAGCAAAGACAAAGAGAAATCAAGGCAAAATATAATTTACTTTAGTTTTTTTTATTAATGTATCTTTTTTATTATTGTCGTTTTTTTATTTTAATGAATATATTTTTTAAATTTTAAATTATTGTCGTTTCAATTTCTTTAAATTTAGTGAATGTTTTTTTTATTGTTCGTGTTTCAATATAATTAAATAATAAATTAATTTAAATTTAATAATTTAAATTTAGAAGATGTATATTTAAAAATGTAAAAAATGAAGGTTTGAAGCCCCGGGGCTTCAAACCTATTTTCAGTGAAATTTTGGTGTAAGTTAAAGCTGGTGTGGCAGAGAGAGAAAGTTTGAAGCCCCGGGGCTTCAAACGTATTTCCAGTGCTCTAATAATCTACTCATTACATCCTATTTTTTCTCATCACACCAGTGATATTTTTGAAAAGTTAACACAAAATATCTCTCCCTTAAAATTTCTAAAATTCAAAATTAGAATATCTTCATAAAAGCGGTTATTATCTATATCCGATTTAAGAAATCCGATTGGTAAACGGATACGAATTTGGTAATCATACATCTGATCCGTTTATAATTTGCCCCGCATTCACATCCGTTTAAGTAACCGTTTATCTGTGTTTCAGATCCGTTATATGTAGTTTTTTCTAATTTTTTATATTTATATTTTGTTTCTCTATTCATATCGCAAAGTATAAGACATTTTTATTAACAAAATATATGTGTAGACACATAAAAATAAGTATATATACATTTACTGTGTATATCTTTTTATCATATGAAGTTAGCGTAGAATATCATAAATTATAGAAAGTAAGAATATAATTATCACATAAGACACCCAAATAGATTTAATAATATTTTGAATTTAATTCAATTGAAAATTAAAGTATTATTTAATTTGATTTTAAAAATTAGAAACAGATATGGATATATTTAATATCCGACGGATGCAGATACGATTTTAATTTTTTAGTATTCGTTAAGATCCGTATCCGAATTTGTTATTTGATCAACAGAAAAATTAGCATCGTTATTCACGGATTTTCAAAAAAAATGGGTCTGCGATCCCTGTTCTCGAAGAAGAAGAAATCGACCGCCGCCGCTTCCACCGGCGGCGCCACTCCTTCCCCGGAGGAATCAGCCCCTCCGATGCTCCGCGCGCTCTCCATCTCCTCCTCACGCCTCCAAATCGCCGAGATGGAACAAGTCTTTGCCAAATTCGACGCCAACAGCGACGGCAAGATATCCGCCTCGGAGCTCGGATCCATCCTCACGTCCCTAGGCGCCACCGCGACGGAGCAGGACCTGGAGGATTTGATCAAGGAGGTGGACCGTGACGGCGACGGCCACATCGATCTCCAGGAATTCATCGAACTCAACACCAAGGACGTCGATCCGGAGGAGATCATGGCGAATCTCAAGGAGGCGTTCTCTGTTTACGATATCAATCGGGACGGGACTATTACGGCGGAGGAACTGCATCAGGTGATGGGAAGCCTGGGCGAAGGCTGCTCGATGGCGGAATGTAGGAAGATGATTAACGGCGTTGATTCCAACGGAGATGGGATGATTAGCTTCGATGAATTCAAGGTCATGATGATGGCTGGTCTCGCCTGAGCCAGAGATTATCCAAATACTGGTAATAATTTGTTGAAATTTCAATTTTGAACACATTGAAATTGATTTTTAGGGTTTTGGGATCTTCATACCATTCAGATGTTTAACATTGATTGGTTAGTATTTGTAAATGCTAGTTAATTCATCAATAGTTTTTGTTTGTTCAATCCGCAGAACTATTTTGGGGACTAATTGAATCATGTTAAAGAAATATACGGAGTAATTAAATGGGTTCATGCTATCTTGTTCTTAACCATCAAACCATTATTTGTAGTCAATTAGCCCAAGAGAGGCACTATCAATCTCAATTTTTTAAATTTTTTAATCAAACTAAATGTAAGAGAGAGATAAATCTATTATCAGAGCATTGGAGAGAATGTGAAATGCTATATACTGATATCCATAATGGCACTTCACGCCATATGTATAATTTGAGAATTACGTACGTGTATAATAGGCTAAAATTCACCGTTGGTCCTTCAACTTTATATGTTGTGCACGATTGGTCCTTCAAGTTTCAAAAGTCCATAAATAGTCCTTCAACTTTATGAGTTCAGCATCATTGGTCCTTCAAGTTTTAAAAGCTCATAAGTAGTCCTTCAGGTACACGTCAGACCTCCAGATGAAGTTCTTTTGACAGTAAATATTAAAAGATAAACAAAATACTAGTTTCATATAATACGAGTAAATTCTACTAGGTACGACTACTCCGTATTATATGGAGCTAATATTCCATTTAGCTTTTAACATTTATTGTCAAAAAGACCTCATTTGGAAAGCTGACGTGTACTTGAAGGACTATTTTTGCACTTTTAAAACTTGAATGACCAATCGCGCACAACTCATAAAGTTGAAGGACTATTTATGGCCTTTTAAAACTTGAAAGAACAATCGTGCACAATTGATAAAGTTGAAGGACCAATGGTGGAGTTTAGCCTGTATAATATTGATGGGTATATCCTTATACCCGACCCAGACAACCGAAAGGGACATGTCAAAATATGACCGGTCACTTTCATCAATCGCCAAATGAGGTTAACTCTTCGATTGAGACGGGTCAAAAGTTGACCGGTCACTTTCCTTAAAAAAGTGACCGGTCACATTTTGGGCGATAGCCAATTCGTCACTTAATGTTACGAAGGACATTCTAGAAGACCAAAGAGGGAGTTGAGTGCATGAAATGACCGGGTAACTTTTCAGAGAAGGTCACCGGTCATATCACTTTACTTGGCTAACATTGGTCCAGTCTCTTAGGCATGGTGAACCACGTCAGAGGTCAAGAGGACACCCCGCCGCTCATCCATCACGAGGCACACAGTGAAAGACATGTTTGTCATTTTGCAGGGTTGATTGGATTGAGAATATCCATTTTAGTCTTTGATTGAACAGTGCTTTTTGGTTATATTAGTAACAAGTCCATGATTGTACAATGCTTCCATTATCTACAGTGACCTTCCCACGAGCTTCCTATTTTGTCCATGGATGAACAGGGGAAGGTCACAAATCCTCCTCTATAAATATGATGATATTTGATAAAGGAGGGGATCTATTCTTTATCTCACTAAAAAACTAGTACACTCTTGAGACAGAGTAAGAAATATATTTCGGACTGAGAAGATTTACCCGGTCTAGGTCATACTTTGTGTTCTTATTGTGTGGTTTATATTACGGGTCAAGTGTCCAGGTCAAATCCGGTCAACCCACCCATCTATATTTACACCATCAAATATGCTAACAAATTTTAAAATATACTCTCTCCGTCCCGGAGTATTCGTCCAATTTTGACTTTTGAAACTGTTCATCTAAGCACTTTGACTCATCAAATTCTCTCAATGTGTAAGTCTAAATATAGTCATGTGTGATCTTGTTTGATTTGTCTTAATATAAAGATTATTAATATATAATTTCTATAATTTTTTAATATAAAAATACAAGATAAAATGGATTAAAGGAGTGTATTGGATGGTGTGTAAAAATGAAAGTGGACAAATACTCTGGGAAGGAGGTAGTAGCATATTATAAGTTTTTAAAGTTCGGAATACATGTACAGATATGTACGCGTAAAAATTCGTCTTATATGAGTATTACACATGTATGAATGTATGATTCTTGTATTCACGAAAATATAGGTAATGGATCATCAAAATATAGTCATAATAAAGTGAACAAAAAAACCCAAATACGAGCAAACCATGTTCTACAATTAGATTAGGGTCCCATTTTGTATTAACATTAGAGATTAGTGTTGTTATTTTGAAAAGGTTATCTGACAATAGTCTTTAGCATTAACGTTTTTAGAATTAATCTATATCATTAAAATTTTATTCAAAATGCTAACATTAATCGAAAGTCTATTCCCAAACAAAACCCAAATTAACAATCAACCAGATCCATTAAATACTACTCCGTAAGATATTTTATATTGAATAGTTGATGGGTAATAACCCATGTCAGGTCGGGTCAGCGCTCGACCCGTGTAAAATTTGGATAACAGTCTTTGACATAGGGTAGGGACTGGCCTGCAGGCGATAGATTGCGTTGCGGGGTGACCCTAGAATTGTTCATGTAGGTAGACCGGTCGGGGAGGATCTGACCTAATTTAGCCCTAGAATTTGGAAGATGATCTGCATTCTGAGTGTTTGTGTGTATCATCCTAACTATTATACTCTCTTATTTCCTAAGTCAATATTATTAAGTATTAACCGAGTTAGAGGTGTTCCCAAATTAACCTCTTCGATACTTTTATTTGTTTAGTCAGGAATTAGCCCATTCGATCGACTCACCATATTGGGCCCAGCCCAACTAATTTACACCATCAATAGGGAAGGTAATCAAACTCGAACTCAACTATAATCGACCTGATCAAACTATATTTTTATTTATCTCAAAGGGTAGATCAAAACCAAATAATGTTTCTTTTAAAAAAAAGTTGCTTGCATTGGGAGTAGCAGCCACCGGCACCACCAAGGTGGCAGGGGCGGCGACAAAAGCTAGTGACTACACGAGGCAAGGCTCATAGTGTACTCCTCCGGGACCAAGTCAAAATCATTTTTAGGCTCTCGGCTCAATATTGTCTTTCTATTTGTGAGAGTATTTACGGGGTTGTGACGACTCAGGTTCTTTTTCTGACACATCTTTCGGGCGATGTGTTGGGTACCAACTGCCTTTCTTGTGGAAAAGTATACGGCTCTGGTTGATTTGGATTTTGGAGTTGTACAATGTACAGATTGTTCCCCGGGCTTGCTTTGGTTGTAAACTATCTGAACTTCTCGTCGGTGACAAGTTGGTTATGTAGCCAAAAAGTACATCGTTTGGAATTTGGAATCAAATACTACAGAATTTCAAATGTGGAACCACGTGTTGAAACATTTTATAAAATATCAGAGATTAATGTACAAATTTTTGGAGGAGAAAAATGATGGATTTGAGTGTATTTTGATTGAATTTATAGATCTAATTTTTTTTAAAAAAAAAATAGAGTCCCCCTCTTTATTTCTTTATTTTGGGGGAAGAAGCCATTACTAGAGGGCAAAGGTGATAGGGCCAACTTTTTTTTGGATTATAACACCCAGGGTGCCAGGGTGGTGTGGGGTGGGGCGTTATGGGCAGCTACCACGCCCACTACACTTTCTCTTAGGCTCACTCTGTCCTTGATTTTTCAATTTTAATTGACACGATCCACATTACAATATTTTGATCATTAATGTCTTTAATTATTTATAAATATATATTATATAAATATAGTATTATAAAACTAGATTTCAAGATAAACCTATTAATATTGAATGTATATCACAATTTGAATTTTTTAAATTTATGTTCAAATTTTTTTAAAAATGACCATGAAAGTCATAATTGGATGGAAATAAGAGGAACGAAAGAGTTAAAGTCCAATGAGCTCGTTTAATTTGTGAAATGTGAACAATGAAGGAACCAACATGAACACAATATCTGGGCTGGGTTCAATCAGCTCTAGAGCCGACCCATCGGCTGTAAATCAAGTGTCATTGCACAGGCCCCCATTTCTTAGGGCCCCATTTTTATAAAAGCATCTGCTTAATCATTTAGGGTCTGTTCTTTAGAGCTTGAACTCTTAACTTTCAGTTTCTTCCAATTCTTTCAGTTTTTTCCAATTCCTTCTAGTTTCTTCCAGTTTTTTTCAGTTTCTTCTAATTTCTTCCAACTATATTTATTTTCTTCAAATTCTTCGTACTTTTTGACAAATCACTCTAAAAAAATATATTATTATTATTATTACTACAACTTTGTTTTAATTACAACTTTTATGTTCATAATTATTTATTTCATTTTTGCATCTCACTATTTTTATGATTCACATTCATTTTTCCAGTTTCTTCAACTTTTTAATATGAATAATACCGTTTTTTGTATAGTAATCTACATGAAAAATTAGGAAACTATTTAAAAAATAATGGATAAATAGTTATATAGAATATTTTTTAATCTAAATTTATATGGGTGGGGTTCCCATGACCCCCCTAACCCCCCGGTAAACCCCCCACCCCGCCCCGACCCGAACACACCCTCTACCCCCGTCAATTGCACCCCACAAGTTGATTTTGACTTTGGAGTCAAATTTTGACTCCAAAGTCAAAATCAACTTGTGGGGTGCAATTGACGGGAGTAGGGGGTGTGTTCGAGTCGGGGCGGGGTGGGGGGTTTACCGGGGGGGTTAGGGGGTAGGAAGCGTTAATTTTACAAACGGGGCACCGGAGCGCCCCCAGGTCATCCCATGACATTGGAACCCAATGTCAATGGAACCTTGGTGAATTTATATAAGGTAAATTACATTTAAAGATCTGGAAGAATAATATTATGAAACCAAGAGAAACTACATTTTGGAAAAAAAAAATTACCCAAGAAGTGTAATATTTATGCTAATTTTATATTCTAATTAATTTTTTAACTAGCATTTTATATATGAAAAATAATACTCGTAATATTTTTTTATGTTAAAGACAATCATTAAGATAACGTGATAACACCACCACCACCGACAACAACAACAACAACAACAACAATAATAATAATAATAACAACAACAACAACAAGAATCAGAATGAGAATAATATAAAACTACACATAATTTTTTAAAAAAAGTTTTTTAAGATTTTTCAATTTTTTCTAGTTTTTTCAGTTTCTTTTAATTTTTTTCAGTTTTTCCAATTTCTTCCAGTTCTTTCTAGTTTCTTCCAGTTTCTTCCCGTTCTTCCTGTTCCTT